ATGAAATTTTATATGCATATACCGAGTGCGTCTCAAAAGTGGCTCAGCCCTATACCTTTTTTATTTTTGTAGTTAAATAAACCAATTTGGTATGTTACTATATGACATAAATTAGGCATATTCATTTGTTTTCAATTTTTTTTATTCAATTGACGTATTCAATTGTTTTCGGTCACTTCCTGATAGCCAATCGGTATTTTTTTACTTTATTCGATAGATAATAGCACTATGAATAGAATGACTATCATATGTCAACTTTTGACATTTTCACATATGGTTTATTTGAAATTATAACAGGCGGTTCATAACGAAAATTTGACTAGAAATACCAAGTGTGTGGTATTAACTTATTCGTAAAAAATGCTTTTTTCAAATATGCTTATGAGCCACCCTCGTTCCATTTGAAGAAATTGAGATGTAATTAAAATACGATTTGGACAACTTCAAACAGGCCAGGACAAGACACTAAAAACATTAGACGATCAAATCTATTTTTCCAGGCTCATTGATTATAAGTTAGTGTTTTTAACATAGCCATGGCATTCTAGATTGAAATTTAAAATACGATTTTTTATTAAGTGAGAATGTCAAAAGTTGACATGTGATATGTTATTCTATTCAGAATGTCATTTTCTATAGAATAAAGTAAAAAAATAACAAGAGTGCTAATTAAAAACCAAAAGTTGTAGTCATTTCCGGTGAAACAGGAAGTCGCCGAAAAGAATTGAATACGTCAATCAATCCTAATTTATGTCATATACTAACATATGTACCAAAATCTCTTTTTTTGTCTTAAAAAATAAAAAGTTATATCGGTGAGCCACTTTTGAGACGCACCCGGTATATATATATATATATATATATATATATATATATATATATATATATATATATATATATTCAGTAGGTCTGGAATAGGTTGTTATCTATATTTTATACCTCTAAGTGATAGTGGTAAGAGTGGTCCACCCCATTTTTTTTTATGATATGGCATCAAAAAATACATACAACCCTACATTTTCACCCTTATACCATCAACCCCTATTTTTTAATAGCGATATTAGTAATTCATTAATTTTCAACCCCGGTCGATAACTGACCAATTGCCACTTGATCAGTTATCCCCGCCAGGCGTCTACCGTTGTCACGTGTGACCCAGTCAACAGCACGGAGTAAGGATGAGATATCTCTCACGCAGTAAGTCGTTTCTCACTCTCTACAGTTTTCGGCCATTATTATTATTATTTGTTGATCATTCGTAACAGTGACGTTTACAATGCTAATTTGGCAATGAAAATGTACTTTTAGTTTCGGGATGCTTTAATCAAATAACGTCAGAAAAAAATAAAATCGAAATCTTCAATTTTTTTTTCTAATATCTACGGAACTACCCGGAATTTTGAATATTTATAAACGGCATATTATTAGGCATATTAATGCACAACTTCACCCTAATTTAATCATCCTCATATCTTTTATAGTATTCAAGTTCCCAATGGTTCCAATGATCCCAATGGAAGTCGAAATTGAATTACTCTGTATAATATAAAACTCAAAGAGATTACTCGTAGTAAGACTCTTGTCTGCTCGAATTTTTCCTAACGATAGGTGTAGTTAACGTACTCCTCGAACAAAATTCATTTCGAGTTTGCCTCGCCATCTGGCTGGTAAGCACGTCCTAGCCCTACATTTAACATCTGGATTGGTATAATTTATTTGTCTATGTTCTTTTTAATAGCAGAAATTCCAGAAAAAGTTTGCAAGGGTTATGCTCTCCAGTTTCCGTTTCAGCCAAGAATTCCTTAAAGATTTTTAAATAAAAAAATCAAACGAGCTTAACGTCTTCAAATTATACTTTATAATCTATACAGTATGTCCTCGAAGGATTGTTTTTACAAAGGGAAAAACTTTTTTATTATTGACATTTGCTTGTTCTAAAATGGTTAATCCCGTTTAATTCTTTTCCAAATATCCATATCGTCATAAGTCCTAAAAATTAAAGGGCGTTTCTATGGTAATGTAATTTTGATTCCATTCTTTGAGAAATCGTTATAATTAATTTTGATTAAAGTCATATTTTTTGATGTTGTTAAAGTATCACATTTTCCGATAACTATTATCACCCTTTCCGTGGCATTGAACTAAATAAATGTTGTGCTTTTTACCATTTTAAATCAGGAAAAAATATGACGTTAATTAAAATTCGATAAAAAAGAATGAAAAGGAAATTATATTATCATACAAATGCGTCTTGATTTCTAGGACTAGGAAAAAATTCAACTACATTTTCATGTTTTTTTTTTTAATTTTTTCTAAAACGGTATGGAAATTTGGAGTACAAACGGCATTAACCATATCAGAACAAGCAAAAATGTTTTTATGAAAAATGCATTTTTCACAAAATATCAGTAATAAAAAAGTTTTTTCTCTTGTAAAGACAATCCGGGGACATACTGTATATCTAAGGTTTTTTTTAGATAATCAGGAATAATAATAATCGTTATTTCTTTAAAACATACTCGTATTAGCTTTGTTAATGGTCCATTATATTTTACTTTTACGATTTCCGGGTTTATTTTGGACGTATTTCATCTAAAAATGTAAGTTTTAATCATACATTTTCTAAACCGTCGGAGTTTCGTATTGAAAATGTCGATTTTTTTCTATTTAGAGTTTCGAATTGAAAACGAAAGAAAAATGGCAGATGATACTTAAAATAGAAAAAACTGTACGGGATATTCTTTAGTAATGAAGCTTTTTATTCTGCGAACTATAAAATTATTCGAGTTGAAGCCAAACTTCTGTTTTTTTTTATGTGGTTGATTATAATATTGTATTATTTTATTTAAAAAACTTTAATAGACAATAAATGAAATAAACTGTCTTATAAAACCAAGTCAGGTTATCTCATTTATTGTCTATTAAAACATCTATTCAAGAATTTTGTTATAAATTGTTAGTAGCAATATCAGACATCTTTATTTCTGTAATAATTTAATAACTTGGTAATTGCACGACACCACAATTATAAAAGAATAATCTACCATTTCGTTTACTAAGTAAGAATATCGAACAGTTCGAGCTACCTAAAATTCAAAGTTTGAAGTTTGTGACATTTCCAGAAGTACCTTAGAATTTTGATGATTCAGTGAGTCAGTGTCGAAATTAAAGAAATTTGATAAGCGATAATTCATAAACTATTTCGTCATGATTACTAAAAAAAAAGTCAAAAGTGCCGTTAGTTGCTTTAAGAAAAGGATGCTTTATATATTTGAAAAATACTCTGTATTACGTTACATAACCTTAGAATAGAGAAGCAATTACTGTTTGTACTTGAATACTTCAATAAACGCCAAAAATTAATATCATGAACTAACAGAACATAAAGTCGATTTTTGCGACATAGAAAAGGTCATTATGTAGACAACGTAGACCTAAGTAATTATTAGGTTAATAAAGAGTGGGGAGAATATAATTCATATGTAAAAGCGCGGGACCTATTATGACAGTTAACAAGGGAGCTTTTAGCATATAGTTGTCGAGACATATACGATTTTTAAGTGGGGCCAACTTGTTATCTTCTGCAAACCAACTATTACAAATACCATAATTTAATCACTATTATTTTACGACGATATACTTAAGCACAAATGGTCATATTAATAATAAAATATTCAGGATTAACGACATCTAATGTAGTTTAAAAGCTGAAAATGTTTTAGAAATAGAGTCCTACTTAATAACACATTAAAAGTTCAGTCAACTTGAGTTAAGTAAATTCTGAAATGTTTTATAAGTTTATGTCAACCAGCCATTTCTCAAGAAGTATTTTAAGTATTCAAGGAGTATACCGTATGATCGAACAAAACGGCGTCAAAGACGGCTGGGGAATAACAGTCGGTGATAGTTTTAGTGAAGTCAAACTTTAGACCTCATATATCAAAAGTTGGCATAAAACTTGTCAAAAATTAACTTTTATCTATTTAAGACACTAATTATAGAAAGATTCAAAAAGGATAGAACGTTTCCAGGCACATAAATATATTTCCAAAAAAAATATTTATTCGTGAATTTTAATCTACATTATTTAAAATTCATTTTTACCAAGTATAAAAATAAATTATAACCTTCTTAAGGCAGTCCGTGCCATTAAAAATTATAAAGCCAAAAACACTAAATAAAATTCATTATATAAAATATTAAATTTTGATCAATAAAGATGCACCTAGCCTGATGACAATATATATCCAAAGTATTTAAAACACTGTTGGATGACACTATAATTAGTACATTGTAGTGTCATGCTAGTGTCATGTATATTATTTATCTATTGAAACTAATGAAGAACTGCATTAAAGTAATATTTGCCTCAGTATTTCCTACATTTATAAATATTTCGCAGAGCATGTATAATTTTTTACTTTTAAAACTCTAATATACTCCATAAAATGTATAACAATTCGGATGTTATTACTCAGAAAATAGAGCAGTAAAATTTAACATTGTCTCTATCGTATTAATAGTAATTTATGTAATAAAATACCATAAATGAAAGTAACCTAAACGCAGCTTATAGCCATAAAATTTTAGAACTAAAATAGGGGTTGATAATGCATTAAAACTACAATCAACTGGGATTAATAAAATTACCATTAGGTCCTTAAAACTTACGTGTGTTAAACACTAATAAACCAAAACATATTTTTAGCATTAGAGAGTTACCGAAATACCTATAATACTAACCGATACGTATACAATTATAGTGGATAAAGACTTGTAGCATTAAAATCGCATTGTTACGCAAAATTATCATTAAATAAACCTGAACAAACGTTTAAAAATTAAATAAAAATATACTTAGTTCTAAATATTCACTTTAGTAGTAAACTCGAATCGTAGCCTCTTTAATTATGTTCATATCAAGTTTAAATCGTATATTGTATTCTTCATGTTTGACACTAAAAATAGCTAAATTAATAAAATATTTTGTTTCATTTTAGGTTACATGTCATTCAGATTTAACGGGTCTTCGCATGATGACCGAATACCAGATGAAATATTAACTGTCACATATGAAGATGGTAAATGGTCAAAACCCTACTACGACTGCGGAGGGGGAAATATTTGGATGCTCACCTACACAGTTCCTTTTTTTGGATTCACAAATAATACGTACTTTTTTAAGTAAGTAGTTTTAATCATAACTTTTTACATATTACTTGACATCATCTCTCGTCCAAGGTATAATCATAATATACTATTGTCTACATATTTCGAAAAAACAATTGATATCATGTAAATAAAAATAAAAAGCGAATTATTTCTTCTGTTTGTTGTACTAAATCGCATACTTCGATATATACGAAATGTGTATAGTTATTTATAAATTATTCCTCTCTATAATAAAATAATAGTATTCAATTTATAATTAAATTTAATTTCTCGACTGCCCGTAGGCCGATGTGTCAATAAAAATATTTTTAAATTATAAAACAAATACTATTTATATTAAATCCAATAAAATTATTAAACATATTAAATAATTCTATATTTAGGCCACTGATTGGAAAATTTAAACACATTTAATATGCCTGATAAACCCAATCGATTTCAAGTGGCGTACAAAAAAAATATTTGTATTTAATTAAACTTTACTCTATTTTTACAGAAAAATTACTAGTTTAAACAAACAGTATACATAATTAGTTATTATATACCTCATACTTTAATATAACCATTAGAAAAAATGTATGTGCTGGGGAAGCACATGTAGGTTTTATAGCCATGATTGATGGTATTATACTTCAGACCAAAAATTTTTTTACACGAAATGAGACACTTCAAATAAGTAAGTGCAAATTATATTCACGTAATCAAGAAGTTAAATAATACTTTCAGTGAATAGCAACAATATGCGATTGTATTTGGTATGTCTCAGAGGCAGAAAAATTTCTATAGCAAGTTCGGTTCTATTTTCATAGAAATTTATTATTTCAAACACTCGTACAATTTTTGTGTATTGTCAAACAAAAGTATGACGAATAAAAAGGGAGTAATGCCTTTGTCGTTCACGAAATGAGCTTTATTACATTTTATAAAAAGGCCAGTCTTGTTTAAATAACTTTATAGAAAAAGGCTCAACAATATTATTGCCTCTCTTCGTATAAATTTACTGGAAGATAAATTTAAAGAAAAATGTAACTTGAAAATAATTGCAGTCGGGTCTACTGACTGGAAAATAAAAATAGACAACATAACATAAATGCAACAATTTATCTATAAATTATATTTTTATTATTTAAACATGGTACCGGATGGGCCACTAAGAATAGCTCTCGGCTGTATTTCGAAAAGAATTAGCAGTAGAGCCTTCGATAAAATATATTTATGACTAAAGAGATCATGAGAAATAGCTGGAAATTATTTTCAAGCTCGTAGAACAGCCGCTAGAGTGCGCAATTGCTATGGCAATTAAGAAAATGAAATTTTGCTGAGATAAGGGATTATAGCAACCCTTATCGCTTCTGAGATTATCAAAATGTTGATCTAATAACACTTCGAAGTTTAAACTTTTACTTCAAAAATCACTATTTTCCCAAGCTTACCATGACTTCACTGAGGCTTCGTGTATTGTTTACTATCATCTAACATAATGATATTCTGGTATATTATCGATATTAGAAGAAATTAATTGTTTCTATTTTATGTTTTATTAGATTGGTCATAATCAAAAGGGCTACTGATACCGTGTTATAAAAAGTAAGGTAGTTAAGGTTTTCTCATTTATTATATTTGTGCTAATATCTTCGGTTTCAAAAAAGATATCAAGATGGGGTTTTCGCTGACTTAAGCTTTTATTTTTCTTTACTCTATTTAATATAATTTCTTTTGAAAAAATCACGCACTATTTGCTAAATTGTAGAACAGCACCTACTATCGTCTACTATCAAATGCATATTATTATTGTTCATATGGTAGGTACAATATAGAGTGCAGAATGCTCTTTTCCCACCACTTCATTTTAGCAGATATGACAAAATGATTTAAAAAATTGAAATATCCTGAAAATTATGACAGAATTATTTATAGTAGACACATTCTATAGAGATTCATGTAGAATATGACATTCTACATTCTACATTTATAGTACCCCTTATCTAGGCAAAATTTTATAAAAATATAATTTTTTTATTTGCCGTAGCAGCTGCGCCCTCTATCGGCCGTTCTAAAACCTTGAAAATAAGTTCCACCAGTTTCTCATAGTCCCTTTAGTCATAAATAATTTTTCCGCATGCTCTACTGCTAATACTTTCCGAGATACAGCCGAGAGCTCTTCTTAGTGTAAGACCCTGTACATAAGGGACTAATTTTAATCCTATATCTTAAACGAAAAATGTAAGAGGGGCTATATCAAAAAACTTTATTTGCAACATAAAAAAGTGTTTTAAAGTAAAAAATTACGAGGAAAAATAAGAGCAGTTAAGATTGCATTCTTAATACTTTTTAATTACGGAATCCTTGAAAGTTTAAAAACATACGAAAAGTGAGCTAATGGATTATGAGATAAATATCGACTTCTAACTGAACAAAGTTGTTTACACGAGGAGGGCAACATATCGGTTAACGGCAGTAAGAAATTCAAACTTATGTAAGATCTTATAATCTCGCCGTCGAGTTTTAAGCTTGGGTGAGCCATAATAACACCAGATTGTATTTCTAAGTCAACTTGATGACGCTTATTTTCTATATATCGTACGTACTTGTTTCTATAAATAAATGGAGATAAAAAATGAGGATGTGTAAATAAGATAAAATGATTTAAATACTAAATTAAGAATTCGAAAGATGAGTCATTGTATTTTGAATCTTTTCCAAAACTGTATTTCAAAAATTTGTGATATACGATGCTACACCTAGGTGGCCAAGGTCCACTCAAACTGTTTTTTTTTTTCTAAATATTAAAGGACCATTCTGTGCCGGAAACACTGCAAATTATAATGCCTATTGCGTGTGTGTTTGTCCTCTTTCTATATCTATACCCACTCTCCTATCCCTGTACCTTGTACCAACTTGAGCAGGTCCTTGATAGGATGGAAGCATAGTTCTTCCGGTACTATGCTTTTCCAAATAGAAATTGTTACTTATGATCCAGAGCCCCGTAGTAACATATTATGTGTTTCGTTGTTTTAGGATCTTAAAATTAGGTCTTTGGATGAAGGTCTTGCTATGCCTGTGCCCCCCTCATTCTCCAGCGTATGGTTTATTTTTTTCCGACTCAGAGTTTTACTGCACTGATAATAATAAATAATAACTACGGGATATACATTTCGATATTCGCAATGCTGGCTCTGGACCAAGACCTGGATGACCAGCTGGTTGAATGATAGATCTAACAGGTGTTGAGTAATTTGGTAAAATATGCAAAACAACAGATCTTGACTTATATTTTAGCTGAAGTTATAAATAGATATAATTCAATTTATTTTTATTAACACCAAAAAATACCTAATGCCCGATTCTGTAAACATATTTCCTGTCTAGTGACTCATCAATCTTATACAAATAGCGTAGACTAGACAGGAAATTTCTTGCTACGGAGCTTACAGAATCCCACTGCTGGTTACTCACACATTCACAACTTCAAACAACGTAAAAGACGAAAATAAAAGAATCCTGATAAACTAGAGCAAACTTCCACACTTTTTTCAAATTGAAAATTAATTTTCTTCCATACAAAGAAATGCCTGAACAAAAACTTGTTTCCATATAATTTCAATGAAATATACAAAAGAATAAAATTGTATCTAAAAATACCGGTGTTTTATTACAAAGCAGCCATACACAAAAGTTGATTTTACAGCCTAATATTTCTTTATATCTAGCCAAAGAAAATTACTTCATATATATTTCACAGCAATTTAGGTAGCTAAAAATCCTCGCGATTTAGAGTCGCACTTTATCCATTGAGCGAACATTGAAGCGTTCAGAGTTAATAAATCTGATAAAAATGAAATTAAGACCTCATAAAGCAGCAACCTTGTGGAAATGGAGCCAACTCAGAATTTATGAGGGCTTAGTCTAAGTGTAATCTCTAGGACATTACCCACTATGTTCTAAAATCGTTGATACGCTAAGATATATCGTATGTGTTAAATAATCTAGCTCTTTACAAATGCTTTATAGTTCCTTTAAATTACTTTTGTTTTATGGATAATAAAATTTAGAGTTCATGAACAGTTTCAATATATAAAGTATCCTTTAGAATTATGTATTAATAGGAGTCTATTTATAACCATTAAAATTTTATAGTTATATAAGACCACTATGTAAACGATATATTTAGAGTAATACATTAATTGATTTTAGTAAAACAAATGCTTGCAATTCGAACATTAATGGCATCATTACAAATAACAATTAATTTACGCAGTTTACCTAATTACCAAGCCACCATAAATAAACAGTAACTGAAAATAAAACGCCACAAGATAAACCCACCACAATTAATTTCAAATAGTATTTATATACCAATATACTATTTAGTTAGAGCTTAATATATTAAATATTTTTAAATTCAGTGTACGTATCAATACACACATCAATAGCATTCTGAACATTTTTAACTTTCACTTTGCAAATCGTAAACTTCGTCCAATAAAAAACTAGGTCTCATACACTGTATTTGCATATCATGCCGCTGGCTAGATCCGGAAAACGGCACCACGTAATATATTACAAAACGAAAAAATAACAAGAAATGTTTATATGGATATGCTTTATGTGCAGATAAATTTCAAGTCTAATATAAAAGTATAAATGTAAACTGATTTAGACTACGTTTCAATAAATCTAAGGTTTATCTTAGAATTATTTTTTTTTTCGCAGCAGTTTCAAGTTTTAAATACCTATACAGGGTGAGTCTTAAATAAGTGCAAATATTTTCTCGATAAAAGACACATATTTTCTCTTTACCGTTTATCAAATAAGTCCAAAATAACCGAGTTAATTTCCAAAAAAAAAATATTTTGCTTAAATTTTGAGAACCAATGGATCTCTTCTTGGTTTTATTTCTTGTAAATTTAATCTACTGCCTATGTTGCCGTATATCAAGATTATATTTTTTAACTAAAAAAAATTAAAAAAAATAAAATTTTCCCTAAATATACTACCCCTATAAATATTTG